AGAATTTCAACCTACGCGACAAAGCCTCTGCTAAGCCCATCCGCATTCCCGTTTAGCTTGCCTTTTCGGGACTTTACTTCAAAATTATACCGCTGTAGAGCTAAGCTACATATCAGAAGACGCCCACTCTTTGCGGACATGTTTTGGAGCCACGTGAGTGGGCAGTGGTCTGTCTCTAAAGTGAAGCGCGTACCTGTCAGATAGCAATCCAACTTTCCGGCCGCCCAAACCAGGCATGCACACTCCTTTTCCGAGGCGCTCTAGGCCTCTTCTCTGGTAGAAAGCTTTCGGCTAACGTATAAGACAGGGTGCTCCTTCCCATCGTCCTCCCTCTCGCTTAACACGGTCCCCATGCCCCGGCCGCTCGCGTCACACTGCACTATGAAAGGACGGCTGTAATCCGGCGACCGAAGGATCGGCTGGCTCAACAGTTGTCTCTGGAGTGAACGAAAGGCGTCTTCCTTCGCATCACTCCACAGCACCCGCAAAGGTTCAGATTTTCGAAGAGCGTCTGTCAGCGGACTAGCGATCTGGGAGTAGCCTCGGATGTAGTGTTGGTAGTATCCCGTTAAACCCAAGAATGATCTTATGTCCGTCTTGGTTAATGGCCTCGGGTACTCTTCTACAGCTGCGATTTTGAGCTCAGACGGCCGTCGGTATCCTCTTCCTACGATATGGCCCAGGTAGTTAACTTAGGCTCGGCCTAGTTGACATTTTTCCGCTTTTATGGTCAATCCGGCGTCGCGCAGGCGATTCAAAACCTCCTTCAGATTTGCCACGTGCTCCTCCCAACTCTCAGAAAACACAGCAATGTCATCGAGGCAAGGAAGAGCAAAAGTTTCCAGCCCTTGCAATACCCGGTTCATGAGATGGGAGAAGCAAAATGGCGCGTTTTTTAAGCCAAAGCTTAACACTACTGGCCGAAAGGTTCCCATCGGAGTGATGAAAGACGCGTACTGGCTGCCCGCTCCGTTAGGGGGACTTGCCAGTAACCTCTAGTTAAGTCTAAAGTTGACAGAAACCTTGCGCTGCTTACCTGCTCGACTTTTTCCTCAATATTAGGGATCGGGTAAGTCTGGTCCCGCGCTATGGCGTTTAGTTTTCGATAGTCCACACAGGGTCTAGGGCTTTTCCCAGGAGTCTCTACCAGGATTACCGGGGAGGTGTAGTCGCTCTCCGCTGGTACGATGACCCCTAGCTCCAACATTCGCTTTATTTCCTGATCTAGGATTTCTCTCTGCCTAGGAGAGACGCGATAAGGTCTGGAAAGGATCGGAGTATCGGTCGTTAATTCGATGTCATGCTCCACTAGGCTGGTTCTCCCTGGTTTATCCGCAAAACAGTCACGAAACTCATTAACCAGAGCGTGGAGTTTGGCTACCTGCGTTGGATCTAACTCCGTCTCGCGTTCTACTCTCTCCAGCATTCGCTGGAGAGACTCACCTCCTGGCTCGTTACCGCCCGCGGAAAGTCTGCCTCGACTTCTTCAGGCATGTTTAGAGCCAGGTTGACTACTGCCTCCCGTTGTCGGTATGGTTTCATTAAATTGCTGTGAAATATTCTGGCTTCCCTTCGCCGGCCAGGCATCTTCACCGCATAGTTCGTGTCAGACAACTTTCCAACCACCTCAGCTGGCCCCTCCCACTGAACTTCTAGTTTATTCTTCTTAGTGGGCCTGAGCAGCATAACCGCGTCCCTTACGGCGAACGTGCGACGTCTGGCTGTTCTGTCGTAATAGAGTTTGGCTTTCGTCTGCGCGGCTTTCATGTTAGCCTCTACTAACTCTCTAGTGCTGTGCATGCGATCAATGTGCTCTAAAACGTAGGCCACAACCGTCACCTGCTCGCCCTCGCCTTCCCATGCCTCAAGTAACATTCGGAGGGGAGACCTCAGGGATCGCCCGTACACCAGCTCAGCGGGACTAAACCCAGTAGTTTCATGCGGGACCGTCCGCAGAGCAAACATCGTAGCAAGCAGACAGGCTTCCCAGTCTTTCTTACGCTCGTAACAGAGCGCGCGTAGAACGCGTTTGAGAACTGAGTGCCATTTTTCAACGCTGTTGCTCTGAGGGTGGTAAACCGAGCTGTGCACTACGCGAATTCCGCATTTTTCTAGAAAGGTCGTGGTCAGGGCGGTAGTAAAAACGCTCCCTTGGTCGCTTTGCACCTCTGCCGGAAATCCTATCCGAGCAAACACCGACAGAAGCGCGTCAACTACCCCGGCGGAACTAAGCTCTTTTAAGGGAATTGCTTCCGGAAACTTAGTCGAGGGGCAAAGCATGGTTAAGATGTACCGGTATCCTGAATCGGTCACCGGAAGAGGTCCCACAACGTCAATCACCAGACGTCGGAACTTCGGTGATTAGTGGTACCAGCTTCAGTGGCGCCTTTTGCTTGTCATTTGGCTTTCCAACGCGTTGACAGGCATCGCACGAGCGCACAAACTCTTCCACCTCCTTGAAACAACCCGGCCTGTAAAATTCCTGTTGCAATCGTGCCTTGGTTTTCTTTAAGCCTAAGTGACACGACCAAGAGCTAGCATGCGAAAGACAGAGAAGGTCCCTGCGATACTTTGTCGGAACTACAAGCTGGTCATAACTGACCCCTTTGCGATTCCTGTACTGTCGATAAACCACGCCAGAACGAGTCTGGAACGAAACGTTCCGCTTAGCCACTCCCTCCCTTTGAGTGTGGTTTGTCATGTTACTCAGGGTGGGGTCACTCGCCTGTTCGGCCGCTAAAGTGTCTCTGTCCACCTCCACCAGGCTCTGAAAACTCGATGAGTGAGGCGAGAGAAAATTACCCTCTTCCTCAGGAGTTGGTCTATCTACGTGTTCCTGATCCTCAGCCGAATCACTCCTACTGTCACTGCTCTCTCTGGGCGCAACTTCAATCACTTCAGGGATCTCGATGGAGTCAGAAGTAGTTGACCCATTGTGCTTGTCGTCCCGACTGCCCTCACTGCCGTGTTCGGTCGACTGCTTAGCTGCTAGCTCGCGCACTTTGGAACGTGTCAAAGCCTGGACAACTCCTTCCCCCAATCTTAGGCCCCTTTCCCTCAGGAGGTGATCGGATCTGTTTGAAAAGAGGTAAGGGTACCTCCCGGGCAGGGACTTCGATACCGCTGCTTCTACTACTTCTATTTCCCCGAAAGGCCCTTCCACTTTGACCTTGGCAATCGGCAGACATACGCTGTTCTCCTCAACGACCTGCCTAATCCAGGCGCACTCGCCTGTAAAGTCAGATGGACTTACGTAGGACGGATGAATCACGTCCATTGTAGCGGCTGAGTCACGGAGAACTTTGCAAGGTCTACCGTTCACAACCAAATCTCGTCTTCACTCACGAAAGAAAACACTACTCGTGGTTTACGGCACCCGGCAGCGAAGTGCCCTGGCTCGTGACACCTAAAGCATACTGAAGGTTTTCGGGACTCGAACGCCTTCCCGTGCCCTTTCTCCTCGGGTTTCTTTCCTCCGTTTTCGCCCTCCTTCGCCGCCCCATCTGCGCTACCGTTGTGGCCACCCTTCTCTTTCCCTTGCCGTAACCTGTCCTTAAACCCCGCGCCGGTCCCTTTCGAGGGGTCTCTGTGCTGGCGACCGCGCCATTCGGGAAGCACGCCACGACGAGAGCTGAACTCTTCAGCGAGTTCCGCCGCTCGCTGTACCGTCTTCACGTCAGGCCGGTCCTGCACCCAGTAGCGGGTTTCTTCGGGCAAGGTACTAAAACACTGTTCCAGACAGACGCACTCTACCACCTTGTCATGGTTCCCAAAAACCTCGGAACCCTTTAGCCATTCCTCTAAGTTCGACTTCAGGCTGTACGCAAACTCAGGATAACACTCGCTGGTCTTTTTCCTTACTTCACGGAATCGCTTGCGAAAAGCGTCGGCGCACAACCTGTACTTTCTGAGGAGGCCCGATTTTACTTTTGTGTAGTCCTCCGAGTCTTCCCTACTCAGCCTGGCTACCACGTCCGTGTCACGATCCTCATGACAATGATTGCGCCGCGGCCGCGATCGAAGACGAAGAAGATTTGGAAGAGCACGAGGTGGGGAGAGCGCGACCGAGCAAGGAATTGGAAGCGAAGCACGGACCGCGACGGTCGGCCTGCAGATCGCTCAAGAGCTGCCACGGTCAGCGGAACGCTGAAGTCTCGCGTCGCCGCGCCGCAACTTGGCCGATTCATCCCGTACTCCAGCCTTTCTTCATATTTCTTTAACATATTCACGTGGAATACTTTCTTTCTTCCGCCCACATCAAGCTCGTAGTCGACTTCATTTCTCCTACTTGAGACTTCAAAGGGTCCCTTCCATTGCATGATCAGTTTATTATGATCGCTTGGAAGCAGGATGAGAACCAAGTCCCCTGGTCTCAGTTGGCGGGTGACGGTCTTCTTGTCGTAGTATTTTTTGTACTTGCCCTTGGCTTCTTCCAGACAATGGCGAGCTTGCCAGGATATTAGACCACTTATTACATCACGCTTGTTTGGGAGAGCGGGAGCACTGTGATGGCTAGTTCCGGGATTGTAGAAACTGAGAAGCTGATGGCGGCCGGAAAAGAGCTGGGGTACGTTGGTGAAGAGCTCAGGAACTGGGTCGAGCGAGAAAAGAACTATTTGAGAGAAGAGCGAGCACAGGCGCGCGAGGCGGCAAAAGAAGAACAACAAGCGAGAGAACGCGCATGCCAGGCCGAAGCCATCAGACTAGACAAAGAACGCGAGATATTAGAATTGCGATTCGCGGCTCAGGAAAGAGAAACTCGCGTGGCACGAGACGAGGGGGACCGAAGTAATTCAGCTGGACCAAGTCATCGGGCAAGCCCTCATAAGCTTATTCCGCAATACAACGAGAAGCGCGACGACCTCGACGCTTATTTGCAAAGATTTGAGCGTACGGCGACAGGTCTAGAATGGCCACAAGAGAAGTGGGCAACCACCCTGAGTTTATGCCTAACGGGAGAGGCATTAAGCGTTGTTGGTCGCATGACTCCTGCGGACGCGATGGATTACACCAAGGTGAAGCTCGCGCTGCTGCAGAGGTTCCGATATACCAAAGAAGGTTATCGTGAGAAATTTCGTGATGCGAAACCGGGAGACGGAGAAACTAGACGACAGTTTGCGGCGAGGTTGGCCGGATATTTTGATAGATGGTTGGAAGTTGCTGAGGTGGAGAAGAGCTTCGTGGCGCTACGAGAGACGATGCTCATCGAACAGTTTATTAAAACATGTTCCAGCAAGCTAACCGTGTTCTTGAAAGAAAGGGACTGCACGACGCTAGACGATCTGGCAGGAAAGGCTGACGTATTTTTAGAGGCTCAAGTTCAACCGAGCTATGAAAAAGCGAAAGGAGACGAACGTGAGTTTAATGCCAGCATGAGGACATCCGGTAACGCGCTCAAGGAGGATGTAAGGAGAACTCTCCGATGTTTCTTGTGTAACAAGATAGGGCACAAGGCAGAGAACTGCCAGAGTCGAAGCAAATACTCTAGACCATCTACGTGTTGGCACTGTGGGAAGCCGGGGCATAAAGCTGAAAGATGCAACCTGAGGTCTGGGGATAAGACCCAAGTTTCTTGTCTATGGACAGCATCGGATGAAAGGCAAGGGGAACCGGACGATTCCTACATAACCCTCAAGAATGGAGGCAGGATCCCAGTTGTAAATGCGGCTGTTGGACGAGCACCCAAGTTCTTGGTGGATAACATGCCTGTAGTTGAAGGTCGTTTGGGGAACAGAAGGTAACAGTGCTGCGGGACACTGGCTGTAATACCGTAGTTGTGAAAAAGAGCCTAGTCCCTGTCGAGTGCTACACTGGCAAATCGAGCCCTGTATTTTTGCTTGACCGAACCGTAAAATACCTACCAGAAGCTGAGATCTTTGTTGATACAGCTTTCTTCGTTGGAAAAGTTATCGCAAAATGTATCGACAACCCACTGTACGATTTAGTTCTCGGCAACATCCCCCAGGCAAAAGAGGCACACGAGCCGGACCTGGCCTGGAATTGCGACCAACAGAGCAGCAACGAAATTCCACCGCGGACCGAGCATCTGGGTTGCGAGGACATGGAAGAGCGGAGAATCGAGATGAACAGAGCTGATTCATCACGACGCGTCCCAAGTAACCACTCTACGATGCTACATGTCAACGTCGCCGGACTTGGACAGGCGAAGAACGGTAGCAATAGAGGACAGGCACCCTTGAACGTACCACAGGTTCCAATCCTTGAAACGACAGCAGAGGAGCTCTCGAAGGAGCAGAGGAATGACTCATCCCTGAAGAAGTGCTTCGACAACGTAGGAAAGGTGATAAGGAAACACAAATGCCGGACAAGATATGACATGGTGATTCGAAACAACTTGCTTTTCCGAAGCTGCGTGTTCGCCACTGGGAGAAGCATTGAGCAATTAGTGCTCCCAACGAGATACAGGCCAACTGTGTTGTCAATGGCACACGATGGCATCATGTCTGGGCATCAAGGTGTGAAGAATACGCTTGCATTGGCGACAGAAGAGTTCTTCTGGCCCGGAATTCAGAGCGACATCAAGTGGTATGTTCGCTCATGCGACGTCTGCCAACGAACAGTGCCAAAAGGAAGAGTGGGCAAAGCAACTCTGGGGACCTTGCCTACAATCGACACACCATTCAAGCGAGTGGCAGTAGATATCATCGGGCCAGTTAGACCAACAGCAAGTTCGGGCAACCGATATATTTTGACGATGGTGGACATGGCCACAAGGTACCCGGACGCTGTCCCCTTGAGGAACATTGGGACAGAGCAAGTGGCAGAAGCGCTCTTAGAGATGTTTTCCAGGTACGGCATTCCATCAGAGGTCCTTAGCGATCGAGGCTCCTGCTTCACCTCAGATCTCATGAAGGAGGTGAGCAAACTTCTTTCGGTGAAGCGCCTACTGACCACCCCTTACCACCCGATGGCGAATGGACTGGTTGAGAGATTTAACGGAACCATCAAACAGATGATGAAACGAATGTGTCAGGAAAGGCCCAAAGACTGGGATAGGTACCTTCCGGCATTGCTGTTTGCCTACAGAGAAGTCCCGCAAGCAAGCCTGAAGTTCTCACCTTTTGAGTTGCTCTATGGGAGGAAGGTGCGCGGACCGTTGACCATCCTCAAGGAGATATGGTCCAACGAGTCTCTCAAAGCTGACCTCAAGACGACCTACGCCCATGTCCTAGAATTAAGAAATAAACTGGAAGGGTCATGCGAGTTGGCTCACCATTGTTTGGAAGAAGCCAAGGGCAAGTACAAAAAATACTACGACAAGAAGACCGTCACCCGCCAACTGAGACCAGGGGACTTGGTTCTCATCCTGCTTCCAAGCGATCATAATAAACTGATCATGCAATGGAAGGGACCCTTTGAAGTCTCAAGTAGGAGGAATGAAGTCGACTACGAGCTTGATGTGGGCGGAAGAAAGTATTCCACGTGAATATGTTAAAGAAATATAAAGACAGGCTGGAGTACGGGATGAATCGGCCAAGTTGCGGCGCGGCGACGCAAGACTTCAGCGAGAAGACTCTTTCCGAAAGAAACACTACAGAACAGTCTTGGCAAGATGTCGTCGTCAACGAGGACTTGCAGGACAAGGAAAAGGAGGAGGTATGGAGATTAATTGGACAATACCAGTCGGTGTTTTCAGATCGACCCGGCCAGACCAACTTGGTAACGTGTGACTTGAAACTGACCACTGAGGAACCAGTCCGGGTGAGACAATATGCGCTGCCCTTTGCGGTCCAAGACGTAGTAGAAGAGGAGATCTCGGAGATGCTACAACTGGGAGTCATCGAGCGGTGTACGTCACCCTACAATGCACCGGTCGTGACTGTTAAAAAGAAAGACGGGTCCAATAGATTTTGCGTGGATTATCGAAGATTGAATGACGTGCTGAAGGTAGACGCGGAGCCTATCCTAAGGATTGATGTCACCTTTGCCAACGTGGGACGAAAGAGGTTCTTTCCGAAATTAGAGTTATCGAGGGGATACTGGCAAATCCCGTTGGAGGAGTCGGCCAAAGAGAAAACTGCATTCTCTTCAGGAAGTGGACACTACCAATTCAGGTTTATGCCGTTCGGGCTTAAGACTGCCTCGGCTATCTTTACAAGACTGATGAGGAAACTACTTGGTGGAATCGCTGACGCTCATCACTGTACTGATGACATCCTGATAGCGTCAGACTCATCGGCACAGCACATGGAAACTCTGAGAACAGTTTTCGATCGTCTGCAAGCCGCTAACATCACAGCGCGACCAAAGAAGTGTGAGGTGGCGTTCACACCTCACACTTCTTCCTCGTCTTCGACCGCGGCCGCGATCGAAGACGAAGAAGATTTGGAAGAGCACGAGGTGGGGAGCGCGCGACCGAGCAGGGAATTGGAAGCGAAGCACGGACCGCGACGGTCGGCCTGCAGATCGCTCAAGAGCTGCCACGGTCAGCGGAACGCTGAGTCTAGCGGTCTGGTCGACGGAACCTTCGCCGGACTCCGACACCTGGGACTGCCATGCACAGCTCCCAGCCAAGTCTGCGCTACGACCTCCAATCATCGAGGCGAAGACAACCGCCTTCACGAGGACAGGCCACGGAGGACTCGTGAGCGAGATTCACCTGATGTGTCTATGACTTGACGGAACTTTGATTAGTGTTGAGACGCGTGTAGAGATTTCTTTATTGTACTCTTTTTTTTTTGTGACTCTCTCTTTCTTTTCTGACGGTTTACTTTTATCTTTCTTTCTCATTATAGTTCTTCCGCTCGCTTAAATAATATAACGTATTTCTCATTCCCGGAACTCTCATGGTCTTTGTCTTCCTCTTCTGCAAACGGGCGCTGACAGTCCGCCGCCTCACACGGCAACAACGTCAAGAGGCGCTGAGGCCACGACTCCCGAGAGAAACTTGCCTTCTCGCAAGCCCTCTCAAAATTGACGAGGAATAGGCCTATATCCTCGCCAACCTTGTAGGGCTGCAAAAGATTCTTCATTTTCCAGCCCTGCTGCCCCACTGAACTTGGTTTCCCAGTTGCCCGCGCAAGCTCGAGGTCGATCCTGGCCTTCTCGATTGCTCTCTCCTCGGACTCTTTCTGCGCCTTTTCTCTTTCCACGCGTTTCATTTCTTCCTCCTGCTCTCTTTTTTCGCGTTCCTGAATAAACTCCCAATACTCCTGCAGTTCGTCTCCGTCAGCACCCGACTGATGAATAGCATCCATAATTAGAGGCTTTTTTTCAGGCCCGCAATGTCGATCCCCAACTCTAGGCAAATTGCCTCTAGATCTGGTTTGCGTAGTGCCTTGAGATCCATGATACCTGACGTGTAAGTCACTTTTCCTATCACACACCTGGAAGTAGCCCTTTTCTTTCTTCCAGGTAGACGTTCAGAACCAGATTAAATATTACTCTTTGATATCCAAATCCTGGTAAATCTCAAAGGAAAAGTGTCGAACACTCACCGGTGCCGCAGCCCGAACTCCGCAGGTTCCGTGCCGTCGCTCCCATCAGGTCTCTTCCGCGGCTTGGAGTCGAATCGTACCAGGTCTCCTCAGTGGCTTGGAGTCGAATCGCACCGCTGCCATCCAGTTGTTGTGACTCGGGGCTTGTCCATGTAGTCGATCTCCGCTGGAGCCATGCGTCGCCCAGGACATCGGGCAGAGTTGGTAGCGAGCCAGGGTGTTTCTTCTCAAACTGTTTATTTACATTCTATGTACAGTCTGCCGTACGGCATGAGAACAACGTGAGAACACACCGAGAGCGCGTAAAACTGCTCTTTTTATAAGGTCCCCCTTCTTTACGTCTCTAGGCCAGGACGCCGTTCCCAAACTGGTCAGGCCCCGCCCACTAGCACGCACAAGCACACAGTGTAGTGGCGGCCGGACATCACATCCCGGCGCCGAGTCACTCCCGCCCTCGAATGCCGCGCCGAGGAGGCGACAACAAAGGGTCCACTCTCAGCCTGGGAGACGACGCTGGCCGAGGTGGTGCCGATGTCTCCATTAGGCGGCTTTGTGGCACGAAAAGGGTTGGGCCGGAACAACCGCAAGTGGCGTCCGAGGATGATCCGTCCTGAACACACCCTCACGGAGGTCCCGCAGCTGGCGCACCGTCATCCGGAATCTTCGCACAGTAATCCCCCCCGGTTCCTGCGTCGAGTGACCCCGTTTCGGGCCAGCGTAATCCCCGCCAGAAGTAAGGGTCCGGCTCAGCTTCGCGCCTAGGTGTGGCGACATCAACACGGTGGTCCTCCGTCGAAAGCCATCCCTTTGTCGCCTCTCGCTTCGTTTCCGGGCTCAACTGACCAGAACCATATGGCGACGATACCCAGGGGCGTTCCCCAGTGCCGGGTGGTTTAGATCGAGAGGGTTTGGTCCGGGGGCCGTTCATAACAATATATATGCATGCTACAAAGCTGTCTGACAACAGTTTGTAGAGCGTATTTCTTCGGCGCTCAAATCCGGGTTGAGCGGCGTCACCATAGGCGTCGGTGTAACCGCGCGCATTACTTTATAGGAAGGTTTCCCGCTAAATATAGTGGAAAAGTTTCACAACTAAAAGTGACGGGGAAAGTTTTCCGTTATATTTACGGGAAAATGTTCCCCTACATTTAGCGGGGAAATTGTTCTGCTAAATTTAGCGGGAAACTTTATCTCCTAAATTTACCGAAAAACGTTCCTCACTAAACTTAGCAGAACAATTTCCTCGCAAAAATTTAGCGGGTTAAAATCTTCCGCTGAATTTAGCGGGAAAAGGTTCCCGCTAAATTTAGCGGGAAAAGTTTACCGCAAAATTTATCCGGTGATTTTTTCCCTAAATTCATGGAAAACTGTTCTCGCTAAATTTAGCGAAATATTTTCTCCACTAAGTTTAGCGAAAAAACGTTCAAGCTGCAGATAGGGGGAAAATTTCGCCACTATATATAGCGGGGAAATTGACGTCACTTCGCCTCCCACCAATTCAGTTTTCTTGCTGAATTTAGCAGAAAATTTAACTAACATTTCCCGCGAAATAGGATGGCAGCAGGCGAGGAGGAGGGGAGGGTACGGGGGGAAGGAGGAAAGGTATACCTTGCCGTCCGTACCCTCCCCTCCTCCTCATCGAGAGCTGCACTCTAACTCGGCATTACAGAGAATCGTAAATATCTCTAATTTCTTGTACGACCAAAGTGACAGACAGTCATACAAGGAAAAAAAATTAAAGATGTTTACAATTCCCTGTAATGCCGAATTAGAGCACAGCTCTTGAGGAGGAGGGAAGGGTACGGACTGGAGGGTATGCCCCTCTTCCTCCTCCGTACCCTCTTCCTCCTTTTCTCTTTCTCCCCTTCTCCTCTCTTCCTTCTCTTCCTCCAACTCACCCTCCCTCTACCCCTCCTATCTCCGCCTCTTATTCTGCTCCCCTCCTCCTCTCCTCCTCCTCCTCCACTCCCTCCCTCGTGAGGTCACTCGTGACTCTCGTGACTCTAGTGACCCTCGTGACGTCACTCGGGGAAGTCGTGACCTTCACGAGTGAATGTCACGTGAAAATCGTGACCTTCCCGTGACCTTCACTGTGAAGGTCGTGGCCTTCGTCGTGAGCTTTACGAGTGACTTTCGTGAAGTAGCTCGTTACCCTAGTGACCTTCGTGACGTCACTTGTGACGTCATAATGGGAAATGTCCCATAATGCAACGCGCGGTTGGGCCGACGGCCACGGCGACGCCGCTCAAGCCGGAAACGGGCGCCTAAGAGCTGCACTCTGAAAAATTGAAAGATGTTTACAAACCTCTGTAATGCGAACTTGTGTACGCAGCTCTTAAGGAGGGGGAGGGGAGGGTACGGAGGGGAGAGCATGTCTTTTGCTCCTTTTCCGTATCCTCCCCTCCTCTAAAATAGTTTGTTGTTGGGCGAGTTTGTGAACGTTTCGATACATGGTTTTGCGCAAAAAAGACGAAGACAAGAGAGAGAAACAAACACGAGCGCAACTTACAACTGTATTGAGGAGACCTTTAGAAGACATACGTATATATCGTCAACTTCAATGCGTCCACGCATGCGTCGTGTCACTATCACACACTCGTCACAGAAACTTATCAAGGAAGTGTTTCGCAGCATTATACAAACTTATCGAGGTATCGTTTCATTTCATTTAATTTATTTACACCTTAAGGGCCCGTGAAGGGCATTACATAAGGGGGGGAGGGGGGGTATTCGAGTTTTATACAACAGAGAAACGCAAGTACAAGAAAAAACAGAAAAGGAAACTAAAACACACTTAGCACACTCAACACACTCAGGTCTGCTCAAAGTTACACAACTCATAGCACTAGTAGGACGATAAATGAAGTTTAATACACGATAGAAAATTAATGGGATCCACAATGGTGACAATGGACGATGGGAGGTTGTTCCAGTCGCTGATGGCCTGAGGGAGGAATGATCGATTGAATGCGTTTGTAGAGCCTGAAAT